TGGACAATACCACTACCTCTACCCTTTGTTCGTCTTCTAAAAATTGACTGTGCGTAACGTGCATAGAGGAGCTGAGGTCACATCCCCAGGAGACATGTAAAGCTCCATTTTGTAGTGTGCATGTATAATCCAGTGTTCCTATGGACAGATGGAGACAGACCATGAGAATTCCCAGAGATGTCTCTGCCCTACAAAATATCAAAAAAGATCTGCTTCAAACAAGATAGAAGTCACAGATTGATGCCCAAGGTTGTCCACATGCAGCCATACTATGTGAAACCTGCATGCCTGAAGTAATGGAGGGTTTTTTTTAATGTTTTGTGATTTATTTGTTGTCAAAAAGGCTCGTCTTAAAATTTAGAATCTTTAAATTGTACTTTCATTCGTCTGTGAAATAATATGACTATGGGTACAATTTTGACAATTAATTCTTCTATTGTATATCCATAGCTTAGGCCATTCTCACAGGGGTAAGATGATATCTGAAAGTAAGTTTAATTTGCATTCCCCTGATATCTAAGGACCTTGGACACTTTTATTATATTTCTCAGCTATTTGTGTTTCATTTTCTGATAACTCGGTCTTTCAATTGTTATTATAGAGCATTTATACTTAACATACTTGTTTATTGGGTTCTACTGAAATCTACCATCTTGCAAATGGGAATAAAGTTTTACTTGTTAGTTACCTCCAGGTTTACTATTCCCTGTTTTTCTGTCTTCATCTTAACATTAATTGCTTTTGTGATTCTATTTTACTTCTACTATAGGGACATTTTTTATGTCTTAATTTTTTCAGTGTTTACCTATACATTTTAACTAGTTGACACTCACTCTTATTTCTTTTATTTTCATAATTTATTTTTTAAAACAATCTTTTCTCGTTTTACATATCAATCCCAGTTCCCACTCCCTCCCCTTCTCCCACTCCCCTCACATTTCTCCCATCACACCCCCCATCCACTCCTCAGAGAAGGTAAGGCTTCCAATGGGGAGTCAACAAAGTTTGGCACATCGCTTTGAGGCAGGATCAAGGCCCTCCCCCCATATCTAGGCTGAGCAAGGTGTAGCCCTCCAAAGAGAACGAGCTACAGAAAGCCAGTTCAAGCACTAGGGGTAAATTCCAGTACCACTGCCAGTGGCCCCACAGATGGTCCAAGCAACACAACTGTCACCCACATTCAGACATATTTTGGTCTATGTAGGTACCCTCGCCCGCTGCTATCAGTTCAGAGTCAGTGAGCTCCCAGTAGCTCAGGTCAACTGTTTCTGCGGGTTTTTACATTATGGTCTTGACTTTTGTCATATCATTGTTCCTTCCTATCTTCAGCTGGACTCTGGGAGCTCCACCATGTGCTTAGCTGTGGATCTCTACATCTGCTTCCATCAGTTGCTGGATGAAGGTTCTATAATGGCAATTAAAGTAGTCATCAATATGATTATAGGGAAGGCTGGTAGAGTCACCCTCTCCACTGATGCTTATGATCTTAACTGGGATTATCCTCGTCCATTCCTGGGAATTTCCCTAGTGCCAGGTTTCCCGCTAGCTCCATAATGGCTCTCTCAATCAAGATATCTCTTTCCTTGCTCCCCCCACTCTGTCCTTTCCCCCATCTGAAACATCCTGTTTCCTCATGTTCTACTCCCCCTCCTTCTTTTCACCTCTCCTTCTCCCCTATTCTCCCCCACCTCCACATTCCCAATTTTCTCAGGAGATCTTGTCTATTTCCTCTTCATAGGGAGATCCATGCATGCCTCTCTTAGGGTTCTCCTTGTTACCTAGATTCTCTAGGGTCATGGACTCTATAGTTTGGTTATCCTTTGCTTTACATCTAATGCCCATTTATGAATGAGTACATAATGTGTTTGTCTTTCTGGGTCTGTATTATCTCACTCAGGAGTGTTTTTTTTTTCTAATTTCTTCCATTTGCCTGCAAATTTTACCATGTCATTGATTTTTTTACTTCTGAGTAGTACTCAGTTGTGTGAATGTACCACATTTCCTTTATCCATTATTGGATTGAGGGGCATCTAGGTTGTTTCCAGGTTCTGCCTATTACAAATAATGCTACTGTGAACATAGCTGAGCAAATATCCTTGTGGTATGAGTGTGCAGTCTGTGGGTATATGCCCAAGAATGGTAAGGCTATTTTGTGAGGAACAACCATACTGATTTCCAACGTGGCTCTACAAGTTTGTACTCACACCAGCAATGGAAGAGAGTTCCCCATATTCCACACCCTCTCCAGCATAAACTATCATTGCTGTTTTTGATCTTAGCCATTCTGACTCATTTTGATTTGCATTTCTCTGATGGCTAAGGGTGTTGAGCAATACCTATTTGAGATTCTTCTGTTGTGAATTCTCTGTTTAGATCTGTAACCAAATTTAATTACATTATTTGGCATTTTGATGTCAGATTTCTTGAGTTCTTTATTTATTTTGGAGATCAGTCCTGTGTCTGACCTTATACAAAATATTTCAGTGAGTTTATCCTTAGTAGAACATTGGGCCTTAATATTTTATTTTATTGAAACTGGGTCTAACCATGTAGCTCTCACTGGCCTGGAATTTGGCTTCGAAGACAAAAAGATCTTGCTGCCTCTGCCTCCAGAGTGCTAGGGTTAAATATATGGACCAAACATGCTGACAGTGATTTCTCTTTAAAACAGCCTTACCGCATGATTGTACAATAATCTTCCAGTTCAAATGTAGATCATTTCATCACCAAGGGTAGAAATTGTATGTACTTTTGTAGTCATCACCAAGTCTTTTCTCCTCAGTCACTATCATCTCTCCCATATACCTGACCCCAGCAATCTCTCTTTATTTATGACTCTGTTTGTCTGCCTATTCTAGCCCTCTCCATCCTTCCATCTAAGTATATCCATGTCTCCTGACTAACATCCTCCTATCTCTCCCTAGCACTTAACCTACGAGACTCTGGGAACCACATTCACTTCTGTCCTATAAAGGCAACTCCTTTACATTCTACGTGTGAGTGAGACCATGTTGGTATTTGTCATTCTATTCCTGGGTTATTTCACCTAATATAATGTTCTCCAGATTCATCCCTGTTGTCTCAAATAACAATATTTCACAGTCTTCATATGAGTGTGTAGTATACTACATTTCCAGCATTCATCCCAATGAAAATGGAAATTTTGCGTGAGTGCCTGTTCTGATTATTGTGAATAATACTACAAAAGTAAAATGGAGGCAGGCAGGCATTTCCTTGACACATTGATTTCACTTCTTTTGGCTACATAGCCAGTGGTAGGATTGCTGGATTACTTTTTTTAACATTTTGAGACATCTCCATACTGTTTTTCCTGATGGTATTGATTTACCACATAGCAGTGTTGAAGGGTTACTAGTTCCCAACACCCTTACCAGAACTTATTATCTTTTGTTGTTTTGACTATGGCCATTCTACGAGGCGTTGTAGAAACTGTGCCATTGTTTGAAAACACATTCCCAAGGTGATTAGTGGTGTTTTATAAACCAGCTGGCCATTTTCATGTCTTCTTTTGTGAACTGCCCATTTTAAACTCTGTTGTTTGCTTTCTTGTTATTGAACTATCCTTGAATCTCTGGGATGAAGTCCATGAGAATACTGTGCTATTGACATGTTTTCTAGTAATTTTTATTTTATTTAAATTAGAAGCAATCTTATTTTACATAGCAATCCCAGTTCCCTCTCCTTATCATCCTCCCACACCCCCCACCAAACCCCATATCCCATCCCCCGTGCACTCCCCACGGAGGGTGAGGGATCATCAAAACCTATCAAGTCATTTGGGGAAGGGCCTAGACCCTCCCCAGTGTCTCTGGGGAGTGGGCTAAGGGAGTATTCCTCCGTGGGGAATGGTTCCCAAAGTCCCTTAGTGCACTAGGGATGCATCCTGGTTCTACTGCTAGATGCCCCATAGGCAGCCCAGTCCTCCTAGCTGACACCCACGTTCAGGGGGCCTGGTTGGTTCTATGTTGTTTCCCCAGCTTTCAAACTGGGGTCCATGAGTCCTACTTGCTCGGGTCATCTCTTTCTGTGGGTTTTGCCAGCGTGGTCTTGACCTCTTTGTTCGTCACTCCTGCCTATCTGAAACTGGGTTACAGAAGTTTGGCTCAGTGCTTAGCTGTGGATCTCTGCTTCTGAATGAAGGCTCTAGGATGGCATATAAGGCAGTTACCATTATCATTATAGGGGAAGAGCATTTAAGGTAGCCTGTCCACTATTGCTTACATTGTTAGTTGGGATCATCCTTGTGGATCTATGTACAATTAATATTTATTTATGCTTATTGTATGTGTGAGTACTCTGTCTATGCATATGCATGTGCACCATGTATGTACAGACCTCTCAGGAGCCAGAAGATGGTGTTTGAAGCCCTGGGACTGGAGTTACAAGTGGCTGTGGTGGTCATGTGGTTGCTGGGAACTGAATCTGGATCCTTTAGAAGAGCAGCAAGTGCTCTTAATCACTGAGTCATCTCTCAGGTCCCAGCGTTCTATTATTTGTTTGGGTTCATCAGGGGTGTTGGCTTGGAGTTTTCTCTTTATTGTCTGCCTTTACTGGTTTGATATCAGGGTATTGCTAATCTTGCAGAATGTGTTTAGAAATATCCTTTCTGCTTCACACACAGTCACTAGTTTGATAAGAATGCCACCCTCAGATCCTGTAATTTCTTTGACAGGTACTTAAAGTGATATTATAGTGTTTCATCAAAGGGTTATGATTTACTTTTCCCTTGTTGTAGCTACAGGAAAGACATTAGGGGCTGAATTATTACCATTGAGGTGCATTGCTGTGGTAGTAGAATCCTTTCATAATTCTTTTCCATTATTTCATCAGAAAATAAGTTTGCAGAAAATGTGTAAAATTTGACACATAGATGTAGTCAAAATGGTTGTAAAATGAAAAGATATACCTGTCGGTATTATTCGCATGGCTTCCATTCCATCCACATGACATGTAAAAAGGTGTTTATCTTTTATTTTTAGACATTGCAGCTGTAGAAGAATGGATAATAAAGGTCACGATGCATGAAGGACTAAATATTTATAATACTGAAGGAACTCTATTGGATCTTGTCCGAGGTAAATATCATCATATAAACTAGAATGGAACTCACATAGTCTTTGAAAAAAACGTTGATGACTACCATAGAGTGCTAAATCCCTGGTGACCAGGACCACAGCCTGATGGAGCAAATATATATATGTATGTATGTATGTATATATGTATGTATGTATATGTATATGTATACATATATATACATATTTGCTGATTATATATATATATATATATATATATATATATATATATATAAAATTAGTATGCAGAAATAGGATTGGCCTGCTTGAGGATCTGAGAGGACCCCTTCTTCTGATGCACATTTTTATATATGAAAATTTTACTTTAGCTTCAACCTGTTCAGTATTCATGTAGGTATTCTAAGTTCTAAAACCGTAAGCCTTGTCTTTCACAGAGGATCATTTCCTCCTCCAGCCTGGTGAGTAAGAGTGCAGTTCCAGTGATGCTCGGGCTCCATGGATCCCCAGGAGAGCCCCACTTATTCTAGCATTTCATGGAATGCTGCTCAGAGAGGGGATAAAGATGTGGAGAAAAGAGGGAACTTCTGAGTTAGAGTTTGGCCAAAGTGAAAGCAGGGGAATTGTAAAAACGACGTGATTTCCATAGGAAGGGGCTATGTGGTTTTTGATAGGCTGAAGATGGATTGCTTTTTCTGTTAATCCTCTCCCAACTTCTGTTTCCTAGATACCTTAGTCTCCTGTTAAATGATGATAAAGTCCCTTTTCTCTTCTTATACGCTGAGTTTATTCCCTTTTTACTTACCTGCTGCTGCTTTTATGGGATTGCAAAAAGGAGCAAAAGGAGATGTGTGCTTTTGAAGCAGAAGCAGATCCCTAAATTACAAATATCACTGTTCTGTGTTCCAGCTCTGTAATTCTAAGCACAACCCACGTAAACATGTATTTTCCATGTGTGGCTAAAGTAATGTCTCTAATCCTAGATGGCCTTCATCATTATGACCTTTCCAGAGTATTCTCAAGGGAATTTCATTCTTCCTCCTTTGCACAATGAAACTGACCCATTTTTATCTGATGAATAGTGAGGTCAGATTATACCTGGGTTTTAAGTTTTTATGTTTATGGGTGTTTTCTCACTATACATGCCTGTGCATCAGGTGTGTGCCTGGTGCCCTAGGTGCTCAGAAGAGTATCAGATCTGCTGGAACTGTGGCTTCCGACAATACTGAGGTGCTCTGTGGGTGCTGAGAATCAAACCCAGGCCCCACGAAAGAACAGCCCATGTTCTTAGCCATGGACTATCTCTCCATTCTCCATGATATCCCTACCTGCCTTGGACATCAAATTTTTCTTTTACATAGTTATTCTACAACCTTTAAAGAAAATAGTGGTGTTCCAGTTTCAAGAGTACCGGCGTGATGTAAATAAATGCCTAAATTTGTCTGCACAGAGCCCATTCTTCAGTGGAATCTTGGAACTACACTAAGTAAAACACATGTCCAGAAATTGTATCCACATGTGATAGATATCAAAGTGACAAAGTGCCCCTGTGCCAATGATGTGGCATTGCTGGGCTTTATTTTGAGCTCATCATCTAATGGTAAGTTACATTCTGATTGAATGTTTGAAGTTACTGCTGCTTTATAGTGGATAGGGGTGGCTTTAAGTGGAAATCCACACTAAAAGCATACAGAGAATAAAATTTATTGTTTGTTTCTCTGCCTCTTGTACTTGCTACTGTGATCTGCTAGGAAAGCTACTCCTTTGTTGTGGCCTCATGTCATACAAATGGTGACTTATACCTGGGCATGATGGTATATTTCTGCCTATAATCCTAGTTACTTGGATATCTGAGACAATGCAATTGAATTTAAGGTTAACCTGAGCCACTTGTTAGACCCTGTTTCAAAACCAATCAACAAAGTCAATCACATAGTATGCAGCTGTCTTGATTCACCTGTTCTGGTTTTGTAAGTCTGTTGCGTCTTCCCAGAGATGGTTTATTGCTTCCTGTGTATCTTTTTTTTCTGCTATGTACAAATCAGTATAGTTATGACTGAGACACTCACTATCTTATTGTATTTATTAAATGTGTATTTTCCAATTGTTGTTAAATATCTAGTGGCGTATGGAGGAAAATAGTTGTTTTTCTCTAAGCACCCATTTCTTACACTTGTGGCATCAAATGTACAGCTTTCCCACACTGAGCAATTTTTCTGGTTACTAAAGATGCCAAGTGGGCAGCCTGTGATTTAATTCAACTGTGGCAGTAGGTACATAGAGTCAGCATCAGTTCTCACAAGTTAAAGAGACTAGCTCCCATTTCAGGTTCCAGTCACAGGAGGCAGGTTGAGACCTAAGTGTCTAACCTGGCTGCTATAAACTGAAGGATCCTATAAGCCCCTTCTTAAATTCAAGACTTGGTTAGACTCTTCACAGACCTCAGGGAACCTCTCATGCATATTTACCTGAGTATTGTCAATCTGTTATAAAGGATGCAGGGGAAGAGCCAATTAAAGAGGTCCCAAGAGTAAGGTCTAGACAGGTCCCAATCACAAGAAGTCCCGTTCCATGGCATTGCATTACACTGTCTCTCAAGACGTGGTATGCATGCCAATCTGAATCCCCCCCCCCACAAGCCTGGAATTACAGATATTCATGGAGGCTTCACTACATGGGAGTGATCAATCATTAATTCAACCCCCAGCCTCTTCCCTTCTGAGAATTATATATGAAACTTAAGTTTCAACTCAATGTATGGTTTAGTCTAGGCTGTGTCAAAGTGGAGTTAAATATCTGCTTCCCAGCTACGGGATTTCACGTGGAGTATTCTTTATCTGATCCACATTTCTTGCCTCTCCAGCCACTCAAGTCCTTTCATTAGAAACTGTATTCTGGAATTGGGGGCGGCTGAGGCCCACTGGCTGGCTCCTGGCATGGAGCCCCTGCAGCTGCAGCCAGTGCTGCTTGCCATGCTGGGACGCATGGGCAACAGCGCTGCCCACAGTCTTAAAGCCCAGAAGTCCTACCCAGTTGTTACCTATGACAGGAAGATGTCCTGGAGCTCCTTCAGAAATGAGCCATAACTGACCAGGACTGTTGGCCTCCAGTATGGAGCCCCTGCAGCTGAGGCCTGAGGTGCTTACTCTGCTGGAAGATGCAGAGTGCTGGGCAGCAGAGCTGCCTGCAGCATATAAGCCCAATGGTGAGATTCAGGGTGGGAGACACACAAAGCAGGGAGGTGTGGGGAAGTCAGGAGCTTATACAGAACCTGTCCCAGGATGCCCTGTCTAGCTGCAACATCACCCTGACTCTTGAAATTGGCAGAATATATCTGAAATGAATATCTTAGTAATTGTCCAGTATTTATGGTGCTTCAGAAAACATAAAGACTGAACCAGAACAATATTTGCATGCAAAGCTATCTGGGCTACACACACACACACACACACACACACACACACACACACACACACACTACAGTTTCAAGGACACTATGATGAAGGAATATATCCTGGGAGATGGGAAAGATAGAGGAATGAGGTGGAGATTAAGTGGTGGAAAATGAGGAATTAGGGAGCTAATAGTGGTGGTAACTGTGAGAGAAGTCTTCAGAACAGAGGACAGGAGAGCATGTCATGTCTGAATAGGATCAAAAGGGTTATGTGCAACAGCCTGGAGCTTTTATTCCCTTTCAACCCATCAACACGCTCCCCAGCCATGTGATCACCCTGGTTCTTAGCAACGGCAGGATTTACAAGATGAGGAACGGTCCATTTTCTTATTTGGACCTCATCAGAAGACCTATTGGATACTGGTTCAGAGCTGACATTGATTCCCAGTGAGCCCATGAAGCATTGTGACCCTTCAGTTAAAGGAGGGGTTTAGCCATATAATAATCTGTCAGTGTGATCCATCATATAAACAAACTGAAAGAAAAACCACATGATCATCTCACTAGATGCGGTCAGAGATGATGTTTGGAACCCTCAGCAGGCCCATATAGAAGAATCACAGAAGGCACCTCTGGGATTTTGGAGCAAGACTCTACCATCATCTGTAGACAACTTTTCTCTCCTTTAGAGATGAGAGAACTCTAGGCCTGCTAATGGCCTTTAGTGGAAACTGAACATTTGACCATAGGCCACCAAGTTATCATGCAAACTGAGCTGCCCATCATGAGCTGGGAGACCTGCCCAGACATAAAGTAAGATATGCAGAGTGGCAATCTGTTATCAAATGGAAGTGGCATATGTGTGATCAAAACTGAGCTGGTTCTGAAGGCATAAACAAGTTGCAAGAATAAGTTTACCAAATGCCTGCAGTTTCTACCCCATTACAATGCTGCCTGTTCCCAAGTATGCACCTACAGCTGTTACAATCAGTTTTTCTGCTAGCCTGGTTCCACAGCACCAACAACCCCAAATACCACACAGAGACGCTGTATTAGATATAAAGCTGTTGGCCTGTTACTATTGTTTCTTATTGGGTAGCTTTGTCTTAAATATTAATCCATTTCTATCAATCTAAGTATTTCCACGTGGTCTTATCATACTGGAGAGAGGGTCTAGACTGCTTCCTCTCAAGTCCCTACATCTTGAGTCCCCTCCTAAATCTCCCAGAATCCTCCTTGTCTCCTAGTCCCTCCTATCTTGCCTTCCTATTGCCAACAGTGCTTTATTCATTAACCAATAAGAGAAACATATTTACAGAATGACATCTCCCATCATCTCCTCTTTTCTGTCTAAAGTAAAAAGAAGGGTTTTAACTTTAACATAGTAAAATATACAACAAAACAGTTATCAAATAAGAACTATTGTTAACAATATTTAGTCCATTAACATTTAGCAGGATCTAAAGAAAATATTCTATCATCTATTCTATCCTGTGTCTAAAGTCTTATATGTAACTTATCTTTAATCATAACTAAGGAAAACTATAACCATAACTATCTGTCTTCAACTCTATCAAAGACCACAGAAGGAGAGTATATAAACTCTAGAAATAACAGAGACAGCTCACCTCGTCAGTCATCTGAAGTTCTTCTGTAATGTTCCATCTTCAGCCTGAAGGCCATAGTGTGTCTGGCAGACTCCTCGGCAAAGAATGAAATTTTAACTATCCACCTGTGTTGGCAGTTTGTCAGTCACTTTTCTCTGTGTCCTGAAGAATATCTGTCAGACTCTTCCATATAGCAGGAACCCTGTAGCACCGTCCATCTTGTTTCAACAGTCTCTTTGCTGTGGGTCCTGCACGTCCATTTTATGCAACATGAAGTCAAACAGTCCATACAAAAGCAGTATTTTGCCCAAATGGCTAGTCATGCCATATTGGAAGTAAACTCCCCAATGAGTTTCTTCAATGTCCATCTTCCCTTCTGACACAGATGGTGTTGCCAGGAGCAGTTATGTCTCACTGTCAAGAAAAACCCTAAACCATTTTAAATGCCATATTCTGTAGGTCTTTGAAAGGTTTGAAGAATGCCTATCCATTTGAAATATATTTCTGTATATCTAGAAAACCAAGCTAACTTAACTATAAGCTTTGACTATTATAGGTAACTATCTATAATCTGTACTAAATTATACATTACATTTTTAAATGATCTATATAAACACAATACTTAAACAAGAGGAAAAATATATGTATCACAAAGTTGACCTTAAATTGTATTAATAAATGAAAATCTATTCCAAAACAAAGTTTTCATTTCTATACCATAATCTCCTTTTACCTTTAAAAAAAGATTGCTTGTGGTCATTAATCATTTATAACCAACCCCATTTAAATGAAAATAAACATTTATAGACAATATGTGGGAATTTGGGCATTGTTCTTTCCAAACTGCTTCCTGCTGGTAGAGGGTGCTGTCTTGGGGATCCTAAGAAGATGCAGAAATCCTGGCTGTAGTGGTCTTCAAAGCTGCCTTGTCCCAGCTGTTTTGAATGTTGGATCACCTGGAACACTATTTCAGGGTGTCTTGCTTGATCAAACCATGCTAGTGTGGAAGGAATCCACAGCTTTTCTTTTTCTGTGAAAACAAAAATACAAATTCTTTTCCCCAGTTATCTGTCCTTAGCATAAATTTTGAAGTCAAAACAGTTTTAAAATATATAAATTGGATTATTAATTCAGCAGCATTGATAACCAAGTGTATTGTAGCAATTGTTGTTCCTTCCTTAGCTATTGAGCAATTCAAAGACAACACAATAGCATACAGTATCCAGACTCTGTGTATTTTCCATTTTTACATGGATTTTTTTATTACTCTATTTCTTTTACTTCTATTTTTTTCATTTATTGAGACAGGATTTCTCTGTGTAACTTTTGCTGTCCTGGAATTTACTCTGTACACCAGATTCACTTTAAAATCATGGAGATCTGCTTGCCTCTGCCTCCTGAGTGCTGGAATTAAAGGTGTGTACCACCACACCCAGTTACTTTCTTTCTTTCAATTTTTTAAAGCACTTTATCCTATTTCTTCTTCCTTCCCAAGCCTATGTATATTTTTAAACACACTTTAATCTGAATCTGTCTTTACTGTAAATCTTTATCTTTTTCTGCCCATGAGTCTTTTATCTGCTAAACAACATTGTTAAAATTAAAGCCACGGCTGTTTTAGCCAAGGTCTATCCAAGATGGGTATGTTTACCACCAGCATTGAGAGCTGTGCTCACTGCCTTGGTCTATGCTACCATCCAGCAGCATGCTGCTGGCTTGGAGATGTGGTCACTGCCATTGCCAGCTCTATTAAGTTGTTAGCAGAATTTGCTGCTTATGCCAAGTCAGGAAACCTCCCTTAAAGGAGCCACGCAAGTCTCTGATTCTCTCTAGTAAAACAGAGCACAACCGAGAAAAATGCTGCTACCAAGAAGACTTTGTTTGTCTCTGTTATTCTGTTTTTAAAATTCTTTCTTAAGCTTCCGTTAAGTTTTAAGTGGAAGATCTTAGTACCTATGTTGCAGGCGCCATTTTGTTACAAGAAGTTTTCCCACAACCCTGGTCCCACAGCACCAACAGCCCCAAATAACACACAAAGACAATGTATTAGATATAAAGCTGTTGGCCTGATACTAGTGTTTCTTATTGGCTAGCTCTGTCTTAAATATTAATCCATTTCTATTAATCTAAGTGTTTCCAAATGGTCTTATCTTTCCAGAGAGAGAGAGTCCAGACCTTTTTCTCTCAAGTCCCTACATCTTGACTCCCCCTCCTAAATCTCCCAGAATCCTCCTTCTTCTAGTCTCGCATATCTTGTCTTCCTATTTGCCAACAATGCTTTATTCATTAACCAATAAGAGAAACATATTTACAGAATGACATCTCCCATCATATAGCCTAATGGGTTGTGCCATGTGATCAGTTGACTAGGAAGAGAATACTAGGGCCTGGTTTACGAATAGTTCTGCAAAATATGCAAGCACCACTCAGAAGTAGACCACTCCAGCATTATAACCTCTTTCTGCGACAATGCTTAAGATACCAACAAAGGCAAATATTATAAGTTGGCAGATCTTCAGGCAGTATACATGGTCATATATTTTGTTTGGAAGGAGAAATAGCCAGATGTGTGATTATTCTCTGATTCATGCTCCTTAGTCAATGGACTGGCTAGATAACAGGGACTGGAAAGAGGATGGTGGAAACTTTGTGAGAAAGACATCTGGGGAAGAAGTATTTGGATAAATCTCTCCACATCGGTAAAGGATGGGAAGGTCCCTGTATCACATGTAAATGGCCAATAAAAAGTGACTTCAGAGGTGAGGAGATCCAAACAATAACAAAGTAGATAGGATGATCCTTTGCATGAACATTTATCCTATGTCCCCTTCCATTTTTGTCACTAACCAATGATCCCATGAATGAGGTGACTGTGCTAGAAGAGATACAGGTTATACAAGAGCTTGACTTGCCAAGGCTGACCAGGACACAGCTGCTGCTGAGTACCAGATCTGCCAACAGCAGAGAACAATACTGTGCTTGAGATATGGCACCATTCCCCAGGCTCAGAAATTATGGAACTGGTGGCAGGTTGACTTACATTGAAAAATTCCACAAGTGAAAGGACAGTGCTTTGCCTTCCTGGAGTGGGTACTTATTCTAGTTATGTATTTGCCTTTCCTGCGTGCATTACTTCTGCCAAACCACCATCTGTGAACTTACAGAATGCCTTATCCACCATTGTGATATTCCCCCACGGTATTACTTACTTCACAGACAGAGAAGTGTGACAGTGGGCCTAAGATTGTGGAATCCACTTATTTTAATAGGATCCTCAGCATCCTGAAGCAGCTTGCCTAATAGAGTGGTGGGATGACCTTTTGAAGACAGTTATAGCACAGATTAGGTGGCATTAGACTGGATGGCTGGGACAAGAGTCTCCAGAAGGTGGATATGCTTTGCATCAGCATCAAATATATGGTATAGTCTCTCCCATATCCAGGATCCATGAGTTCAGGGCTTAGGGGTAAAATGGAACAGTTCCACATGCTATCACCCCTACTGACTCAATAGGAAAAATTTGTTTCCTATTCCCATGACCTTAATTCTGCTGTCATAGAAGTTTTGGTTCCAAATAAAGGAGTACTACTGTTAGGAGAACAATAAGCATTCCATTAAATGGAAGCTAAGACTATCCCCCGGCCACTTTGGGTTCTGATCCCCTTAAGCCTACAGATAAGAAAGGAGTGTTAGGAGGGTTATTGATTTAGAATCCCAAGGGAAAAAAATTGGATTCCTTCTCTACTACAGAGGTTAAAAAAAAAATATGTCTGAAATGCAGAAGGCCCTTTAGGGTGTCTCTTGGGACTCCTTTGTCCTTTGGTTAATGTCGAGGGCAAACTGCAACAACCTAATCCAGGCAGGATGACAAAAGACACAGGACCTTCAGGAATGAGTGTATGGGTCAATCCTCCAGGAAAAGAGCCAAGACTTTCTGAAGTTTTGCCCAGGGTAGAAAAAAATACAGAAAGGGAAGTAGGTGAAGACAGCTAATGCCATGTGACCATTTGAATAAATTAAGATTATTGTTTCTGTGATCTTTTGTTAAGAATGTATTTTTGCAGATATTTGTGTTGTCTTTCTTGATTTCTTTATATGCAATATAACATCAATTAAGAAATATAAGTGGTTATCATATTTCAGATACTAAAAGTTTTGAGATAATAGTTATTAGGATGCCCTTTGGTAGCATCCTAAATAAAGGACATGGAAGAAGGGAACTTTTGTTCTTTGCATAAATGTCCTTGTTATCAATACCAAGTGCATTCCTTCACTGGCATTACAGCCTACCTCTTCAGGGTTGTGGCATATACTCAAGACAACCTGGGACATCCAGCGTGATGGACTGAACAACTACTGCATTTCTGGACTTTCCTTTGGTAAACAGCCATTGTGGGACTAACTAGACTATAACTTCTATTCGATTCTAATTAATACCCTCATATAGTATGTATGTATTTATAACCTATGCAAATATGTATTTGTTTTCATTTGGAAATTTCAATTTTTGATGGTTCAAGGGATAGATAGATAGATAGATAGATAGATAGATAGATAGAAAGAAAGAAAGAAGTTTGGAGAAGTCATTCATCCAATACATTTGGTGTGTGTTTATGCTCTGTGGGTGGTGATCTGAGATCTATTCACAGCATCCCATAACTCCAGAGCAGAAAACCACAGTGGCTCTCTAGTTTCATTGTGTGAGTGTTCCTAAATAAATATTTGATATTCTTTTATTCAGGAAGTTTGAACTCCCTAACTCCACCCACAGGTGTGTGTGTGTGTGTGTGTGTGTGTGTGTGTGTGTGTGTGTGTGTGTGTTTTATAGGTGGGGAGGGGGAATTTATCTCATCAGTTCTTAAGACCCATGACTGATTCAGAGTGGAAGAGTCTGTGTTAGAAGATGGAGCAGGTTTATGTTCACAGAATTCAACTCTGCAAAGTTGCCTAGCTCTAGTTTCTTTCTCTTTCCTCGTAGGTGTTTTCATAGGCAAGACCATTTCTGGATTTTGGGAATATAAAGAAACTAAATGGTATGACCTGACAGATAATATCTATTTACATCTTAAAGAAGGTAATTCTCTGGTTCTCATTATTTTCATGATTTCATTTATTCTGAAACTCCTTTAGTATTTCTGAAATGTCTTTCTAAAGAGCTCACTGTTTCTAACCTATGGCATGATTTGATTTCTTCCTTCAGAACACAAAGGGCTTACAATGGTAGATATGGTTTTAACAAACCACTTTTTAGTCATCCTCACCTCTTTGGGTCTTTTTGTAAGTAATGACCTCCGTTATCCAGTCTCTTCACACATACAGGTATGAAAATTATTTTGTAATCCATTTATAACTCTTAATAGCTACTATGGTATAAAAAGAAATGTTTTACGATTGAATTGTGAATAGTATATCTTAGAACTAAAAATTGAAAACATGATACCACAACTTTTCTCTTTGCTTCATAGTCTTTGAAATACAAGTTGAAATTGGCATTAGAATTGTTGCTGTACCGTTTCTAGTAAATTTTAAACATATGTAATGGAAAAAACATCATCTATCTTCTACTTGTCTGTTTATTTAATGGCTAGTATGTTTCAAAAATGCTACAATGTAATTTACATAGCTAGATGTTATAATATAACTAACAAAAATTAAGTATTGTCAAAGAAATTATACATGCCTAAGATGATAGAGACCCCAATTATCCTAAAATAAATGCACACTGTACAAGTATATTGAAATGGCATATTGTCCACATGTGAGTGTAAAATCACAAGCTAATCAACAATAAAGCAGACACCAATGTTCTTCCTATAACTGGGAATCAATCCTGTTGGGAAATTATATGGTAGGGCAACTGAAAATCATTCCACCAAGAAGCAAGGAAAAATTAGTCTGGCGCCTTAGACCACTAGGCCATCCTGACACCTGAAGCAAGGAATAATGAAGTTGGGAACTTTTATCCAGGCCTAGCTCCAGAGACTACAAAGTTTCCTCAGACAAAAAGACATGGGAAGATAATAAGAAATAAGATAACTCTGGGACAAAGAAAAGAGAAATATATATTTAGACAGAGCTATATACATACCATGAATTCCCATCAAGAGACTGGATGAGAAGCTACATTAATGTTTGGCCATATATTTGCTGGAATACAAAAGAAAACATGAGTGTGCTCTCTCTCTCTCTCTCTCTCTCTCTCTCTCTCTCTCTCTCTCTCTCTCTCTCTCTCTCTTTGTGTGTGTGGGGGGGGGGTACAGCTTAAACTACAAAGGTTTGTTATACCTTCTGAAAAGCAACTAAATTTTTAACTTTCTTATTTTCTCTCTCTTCCTCCTCCTCCCCTTCCTCCTCCAGCTGTCAAGAGCAGACTTTTGTGGTTTTGAAATGGTAAGACTTTTTATTTCCTAATATTGGTTTACAATATACACATTCTGTGGTAAGTTGCAAAGCAATAATTCACAATCTAGATGTTTCCTGCTACCTTAAAATTATTTTCAGTTTAAACAAAAACTTATTTTCATAGCCACCATGCCCTCCTCATTTCGGCAGCCGTCTTTCCTTCTGGTGGGTTCTCTCTTGGTTGTGGAGACTGCTCAGGCATGCTCTGCTTGGAGATGCCCAGGTGGGAAGGGTGAGGCCTGGAATCTGAGAGAAGTTTTGCTTCCCAACCCACCTGCCCTGTATCTAACCTGTATCTGTCCATTTTGGACAAAAACTGCCATGAGATCTGACAACTCTGTTTCTGTCCTTTGGGGGCACTTTTCCCGCTATTAGCTTACTTCCTTCTCTGTTATGAAATATCTGTCACATTCAACAAGGCCGTTTTCAACACACATAGCATGCATCGTCACTAGTGAAAGGGACACAAAATTATAACTATTCATTCTCAGGCCTTGTCGTGTCCCCTTAATTTCTGTCCTGTGTTGTAGACAGTCACTACAAAGAAAAAAACCACACTTACTTCTCAGGAACCAACTAGAATTAATTGCAAGATCAAAGTATCAGTGGGAGGAAACGAGAAACAGAGAACTGGGAAATCAGTAGAGAAAACAAATAAATGATGGAAAGAACAAATGGAAATCGTTTATCTTATCTCAAATTCACGTGCTCAGACTCAGTCAATTGCCCATCAAAGATGTTTGTGTGGTAGAGATGGAGCTCCATGGTTGATCTTTTGCCTTGCATACTCAGGCTCTGTGTTCAATTCCCAGCAACACCAATGTAGTCAATGTACAGAAATAGTTACTTGTTATTTTACTGAAATGGAGGATAGAAATTATTTCTCCAAACTCAGGATACTCTGTTTAAACAGTAGAATGTGGACTCAAATAATGAGGTCATGGCTCCTGGTAACACAGGGCAGCAAAGGAAAGGCAAGTAGGGGATCCTGCAGAGAGAGAGCTTGCCCTCAGAACTCCAGGAACTATCGAACTTTCTCATCAATGGGTGGGGAGGGAGGGGCTATGAAAGAGAAGAGAGAAGACTGATGGAAGGGAGAACTGAGTTTTCCCTAAGCCTGAGGTGACAGGCTCAAGGACATTTTCAGGGAAAGAAGAGTTTCCACGGTGAACTTCCAATGTACGGAAATAGCAACTAAGAGGAGTAGAGAGCATGGTCTCCTCTCATTCAAGCATGGCAGAGACTAACGGATTCTGAAGAGCACTCTTGAGTTCTCCTTTCAAAATATGTCTGATGTCACCTGGGGTCCCAGTAGATCACAGTCATTCAAATAAAGAGATGTTCAACAGTGTTAGTGGTGAGCAGAGCAGCTGTACCAGAGCAACAAAATTTAGCCAATAAAATCAAAGGCACACACTGAGCTTCTGCCATGCTCATTGTTATTGTCACTGAGATAGCACAAAAGAATTTCTGGGACTACATTCCACAGTTGTTATTAAAAGTGAAGTAAAGTGAAAGATAGAATAGCCATTGACTAGATGCAGACTTAGTGCCACAGAAGGAAAAGTCAACCATCTTCAAATGTTTGGGGGAAATTGTTAGAAACTTCAGGGCAATGATAATCCATCAAGGAAAGGTCCACAAGGTGAGTGATACAGTTCTCAGAAAGGAGACCAGGTCCCTCACACCTCAGAACATAATAAAACCTTTGTTTGTCAGTCTGAGATTTGAATGTGATTGCATTTTTTCTCCCTGCCTGTTGATTCTTTTATGTTCAAATAGAAGGAAAAAAAAATTTTTTTCCTTCTTCCTGTGACCTTCATCTCTGTCTGATTATTGTGTTGGTGCAAGAACCCACTGACTTGATAACAGAGTCACACTAAAGTATGTATTCAGTAAACAGTGTTGGATATATAGATTAGCAGAGTACTCTGGGAGAGAAAAAAGTGTTTTTAGCAGTGGGGCAGTAGGCTAGGTAGGGCATAGGGTCAGGGGAGGGCAGGCTCTGGGGGATGGGGGAGTTGTGTATCAGAGCACCAGGAGCACTCTTGCTGGGGACAGGACATGGGAGGGGCAAGATTTGGGGTCAATCCAGGCAGTTCCCAGGGAAGGGTGTGTGGGGGGATTCAACCATAACTGATCCCAGACTCACCTCGGGCAGAGAGGTCAAAGATCAAGGAGGTGAAGACTCAGGGTGGTCCCCCCACCCCCGTGGATAGGCGGTCTCCAGCAGGGGCCCGGAGCTCCTGCAGAGGACAGGCAATGGGAAACTTTGGAATTTTTAAAGCATGTCTCTTTCTGTTTAAAAATCTTAACTCCAGATTTGACCCAGGTGACATTTTCTTTTATGTATTTATATAGGTTGACTATATCAAAGGAAAACTGTGGTATAATGAAAAATGTTTTGCAAACAGAGAAAAATTTGAAGGTAAATTTTAAGACATGTTAACAGACTGTATCACTATTGGTTACATATATAGATTAAATTAAATACATTAATTCAAAACTGAATAAAATGGGTAGAAACTATTACGTAGGAATTAATGACCTAACCGTGAGAAAGCCAGGCTCAGTGGTGGTGTTTACTTGTTATCCCTTTAACTCTTACTAGGCAGAAACAGGACACTGCTGGCTAGAGGCTGCCCTGGGCCGCATACTTACAGCTTTTCTGAGAATGAATGGGAATGGCACTCCGCCTTAATGCAAGAGAACTGTGTGCAAAGATGCATCAGTAGGCGGTAGAGAAAAGGCACTGTTTTATTCAGGCAGCTCTGTTAACACTAACACTTCCTACGTCAGTGTGGCTCACATTTTCCTCACCTTTGTGCCTTACAGTTGATTATGTGACCATCACTTTCGACAGAAACAGGACCCTAAGTGAGGTATGACATAGAAAACTTTCAAAGGTAGGACATTCCGTTACGCACGATTTCAGGAATGGTTGTTAATCTAAAGTATGCTACATAACACACAGAAAAACTTAATCGAGCCCAGTGGTGTCTCCTTGTAGACTTAATAGCAGATACCTACTTTTGTTAAAGCCCAGTGACTCTAGCCGAATAATCCATACCAGAGAAGTAGGGTTCTTTGAATTCGCTTCTGAAAGTGAATATACCCAGGAGAAAAAAAAATAGATGATAAAGAATTAAAATTATGATTGGTGGGCCAGGTGTGGTGGCACACAGCTGTTCTAGTAATCAGTAGGTGGACAAAAAAATCACAATCACTATGAAATTAGATTACATATTCTTGGTCAGCATAGGTTCACATAGTGAAAACATGTCTCAAAAACTTCTGTATACGTGTGTGGTGTGTGTGTGTGTGTGTGTGTGTGTGTGTGTGTGTGTGTGTGTGTGTGTGTGAATGCATCCATTGACTAATTTTCCTACAGTAACTAGTAATGATTTGTGTTTCAAAAGCAATATTAACTCTCCTCTTTTTGTAGTCCAGTTCCTGTTTTTATAGTAAAGAACCATTTCTTCATTGGCTGCCTTGCTTATCCTCTACTTTTAAAAATACAAGTATTTTTCCAGATGTGATAACATTTCTTATTGACCAAGAAAGTCAAACTGGAATTTATCTCCTCCATAATCGGGTAAGTCTTACAGCTCAGAGGTGTTTGCTATATTGCCAAGAACTGCAAATTGATCTTACAGGACATTATTTCCAACTTATCATGATTTCAAGCATAAAAGCTTAAGAAATGATCCATAGAATAGTATAGAAGCTTATGAAATTATTAATGATCCATAGAATAGTTTTAAAAAAATATTTGTCATTCCCGCTGCTGGAAATTAAACTTGTGATGTTGGTTGTTTCCTTGTTGTTCGTTACTAATTCTCCAGGGGAGTTTAAGACGAGTATTTTCCGTACAATCTAAAGTTCCTTGACTGGGTTAGTTTAAATGAACACCACACAAAAAAGGAACACCTTGTCACAGCTATAGATATTTTCTGTTGTATAGGTCTTTAACCGGGGCTATTATTTAGAATTATTCCCAGAGTCATTAGAAAACTTAGGAGTTGTCTAAGTGGCTGTTCAGCACTCAGTCCTAAGTGGGACACGTATGTCACCCTTCCAAAGCCCATGTAACATTAAATAAGCTGCTTTTTCAGCTGAACTTGTTTTAAGGCAGGGTCTCACTAGGCGGCACTGGGTATCCTCGAGCTCATAATAACTATGAATGTATGACTCCTATGTGCCGCCATGCCTGCCTATGCTGACCATACTTTAGACTAAATTGATGTCTTCCTGGAAAAAACAAGTTACTTTTTTGAGAGATGAGTTTCAGGATAACAACAGGAGTGAAGAAGGTGATGGTGCTGGTCCATGTAGATATCTCTCTCAGAGACATGAGATGCCCCAGGAAAAGGGATTTAGGATAGGTATATTTGCTGCCTTTCTTCTGAGAGCAGAACTGCTGTGAAAAGAAATGATTAGTAGTCTCATTCCCAAGACTTTGCTGCCTTTAGTCAAACAAGGGAAGAGCTAAGACAGCTGTTCCCTGTTGTATAGGTGAAAGTCTTCAACTTTTTTTTTATCCTGTAGTTTAATTTTTCTTTGTTTCTTTATTATTATTATTATTATTTATTTTTCTTATTTTACATATCGATCCCAGTTCCTTCTCCCTCCCCACCTCTCTCCCACCCTCCCATGCCCCCCAACCACCCTTCCATCCCATTCCCCATCCCCACTCCACAGGGAGGGTGATGCCTTCATTATCCATATACCAATGAGGCATTTACAGGGTGTCAGAGTCTTGCTCCTTTCAAGACTATGGCCCCATATACTTGGGGTTTTGTCAGTACCCGCGTGTAGCATGGAAGACATGAGCATAGAGACTGAGAGGAGTCTATCTGGTTATTTTAGTAATGACTCACAAACATCTCAATACCATTTATTACACAACTTTGAACAAATCCTTTAGTTTCCTTTATTACATCTCAGCACCTGTGAAATGGACAGGTAGAGGAGTGGAGAAGAGTTACCAGTGATTGCTTATCTTTCCAGTTCTTTGCTGTGATGATGGACATGACCCTATCTTAATTAAAATAATGAGAACGTCTGGAAATTATTACATGGGCAAAAAAAAAAAATAGAATAAATCTGATGACTTCTTTGTGGTTTTTCTAGACCTCCAAACAAACCTTTGTCTCTGTGTCAGTGCTCAAGGATGATAAACCAAACCAAACTCAGCCAAAATTTCCCAATTTCAAATTTCCCTTCTCATTCTCTAATCCAGTTGGAATGGTGTTCCATCCCCGAAGCCACTTTCTGTATGTTTATGGCAATCAGGTATGCAACCGTGGGATTTATTCTTTTGGAGGAAGAGTAGGCGTGTGTAGACAGAGTGGTTATGTACATGAAGAACAGGAGTGCTATGCTGATCTGGGTGGGAGACGCAGAAGGGGAGACGATGTGCGCGCATCAGCTGTTCACTGGGGCTGAGTTCTAAACTGAGCATGCGGCACCGTGGTTCTGATATTACCAGGTGTAATCCATTTCTTTACAACTCTATGACCTAGATGTTGCCCTTAATCCATTGAAAGTATGCTTTATCTGGTATTACTGGAGCTTGGCATTGCCTGGTTTCTCTCTGACTTTGTGTATGCATTCTGTGCTGGCTTTGCTGCTGTCTGAGCTCCTTCTAGTGATGTTCTCCATTCTTGGGACTCTAGTCAGACAGCAGCCTGAAAGCTTCGTAAAGCTTACATAACCTGTCATCAGCCAAGTGAAAAGTAAAGAACAAAAAATATAACAATGAAGAAATTCAGTACTACCGAGAAAGCACTGTGGTGACTTCTGGGCAATGTACTCAGTTCACTTTCACAGTGAGATTTCTTCCCTAGAAGTGAAAATTTTGATGGCTGAAGTTTAGTCAAGACAGAGAACAGAGTTTCTCTGTGAGAGTCTGAGATGCACATGACAGGTTACAGTTTTATTTCAGAGGTGCAAGCTCCTCAGTCATTAACTTCAAGGTATGATTTCTGTTTGGATAGAAAGTGGTTAAAGACTCCAGAGATTGGCAGCTTAACCTAGATTTTCTATTCACTTGATGACTATCTCAGAACATCTACTGCTTGTGAATAACTCCCTCTAGCAAACACTCATATGGAAAGACAAGCAGTGCCGATCTAAACTCACTGAAAACAATCAGGGGAGCAAAGCACTGTAACTCCCCCTGCAATCCCAACAGTCTATAGGCACAATACGTTGAGCTGAGAAGATGGCTCACCTGGTTTTACTTGCTCTGGGAGTATGAGGACCTGAGTTCAAGTCCCCAATACCAGTGTAAAAGGATGACCAGAACTGTTCAAGTCCCCAATACAAGTGTAAAAGGATGACCAGGACTGTTCATATCTATAACAACAGTATTAGGGAGTAGAGACGGGCAGATCTAGAGAACTCACTGGACAGCCAATGTGTCCAAAGCAATAAACTTTCTACTCAATATATGAGTCTTTCTCAATAAAGTAGAGCACACAGTAGAGGAATTCACTCAATGACATCCTGTAGTCTCCCCATGAATGTAACACATTCTGTCTCTCTCTCTCTCTCTCTCTCTCTCTCTCTCTCTCTCACACACACACACACACACACACACACACACACACACAAGAGGGGGAGTTGAGGGAGAGGAGAGAAAATGATAATGCAATAAAATATCACTCAGTCACCTAGTTGACCTAATTTCTTCTGGCAATAGAAAACATTGAAAAAGTAGACCAGGTGTGTATGTGAGAATGTGTATGTGTGCCTGAGTTTGTGATGGATATGGAGATGTGAGGAAAATAGGAAGATCGGGCTAATAGGTAATTTTTTAAATTAGAGGTAACTTTCAGTGAGATATTATCTCTCCCTTTAGGTATGGCTTTCAATGGATGGTGGCAATTCTTTTGAATTAGTATGTGACTTTCAACATAACACTGTAAGGAAGACTGCTCATAGTTTTTATACTTCAGATATATCTTTTATTACACAAAGTGGAAGGATTTACAAGACAAAGGCAGGTAAGGAATTTTCTATTTGGGGTTGTAAGTTCGTTCTACATGTAGGTCAGGTCAGAGATGTAAGCTGTTTGAAAAGCATGTTGTATTCATCAACTAATAATAAGGTCTCAAATGCAGTGGTAATGGATTTGTTGGATCTACAGGGACAAAGCATATGAACAGCCATAAAAAAAGATGAAGCCCAGATTAGCATTCTGTGTTCTTGGTACTGTTTCCTTTTCCCAAACCAAGTAACAATACACACCACAAGGGAGATACAATTTTTCTCCACATGTTATAGACAGCATATTACTTAATACTCACAATCACAATGCCAAATATGGTAGTGTGTTTTTTGGGGGTTTTCTAATAAAGCTTAGTTCACAGAAGCCTAATAGGTGGCACTGTATGAATGATTGTTTATTCTCCATCTTCTTACAGTTTCTTTGATTAAATTAACAAGGCTGTCAGTTTGTTGCACAATGAAACCAACAGCCAGGAGTGAGTGATCTAACTTAGAATAGTTGACTCCCCTCCAATACAGTTGAATGCTGCCAGCTGGACTTGGGACCTGAATCATGAAGTGCATGGTCCTTGTATTTCTGTATCCCTCTGATCAGCGTTTTCATTTGATTACATTCATTTCCCCTTCCCTTTCTTCCCTCTAACCTTTGCCCTGCATGTCCTCTTTCTCTCAAATTTATATCTTTTTTTCATTAATTGTTGTGAAATATATGTACCCAGGCACAGAGTCTATTCAGTCTGTATACTATATGTAATATAACAATAGATAATATAGTGTTACCTGTATTATGTGTATCGTTTCAGCACTGACCATTTGATATTAGCAAACATATCAGGATCCTCTTTCCTGGGGAAGACTATTTTCCTGCTCTCAGCATTCCTTACTTACCTGTAGCTCTCTATCTAGGGTTGGGGCCCATGAGATTTCACCCTTTGTGTTATCATGTCAGTCGGTTGTTTGTTCAGGTCTTCTTTGGGAGTCATATTGTTGAGACTTCATAATATAGATGCCCCGATATTTCTAGTGGACACACGCAGATGATATCATGACTTCCTGTTCTGGCTCTTACAATCTTTCTTCCCATTCTTCCACAATGCATCCTGAGCCTCAGGTGCAGGAATTATAATGTCAATACATGCATTGTGGCTGGGAACAACATGATCCCTTGTTCTCTGCCATTTGATTAGTTGTGCTGTCCTTTAATGGTTGTCTGTTGGAAATTGGAATTTCTTTGATAAGGGGTGAAAACAATTAACTATGCATATAAGGATGAATATTTAGATTGTAGTTGAATATTTAGATTGTAGTTAGGAATTATGCTGGTTTAGTAAAGAGATGGTTGTATGTTACAAATAGGTTTTTCCTGGACCCACCGCCACGCCAGCCCCAATAACACACAGAGACTCTGTATTAGATATAATGCTGTTGGCCAGTTACTAGTTTCTTATCAGCTAGCTCTGTCTTAAGTATTAACTCATTTCTATTAATCTAAGTATTTCCATGTGGTCTCATCTTACCAGAGAGAGGGGGCAGGCGGTTCTGCTCCCTCCCGTCTCTCCATGCTGACTCCTCCCTACTACTTCCTCGAATCCTCCTTGTCTCCTAGTCCCGCCTATCTTGCTTTCCTATTGGCCAACAGTGCTTTATTCATTAACCAGTATGAGAAACATATTTACAGAATGACATCTCCCATCAGCTGTGTATTCTCATCCAAGATCCATGATCTCAGAAACTCAGACTACTTAGGTTTCTCCTAGTCATGATTTTCCTCTTGTTGTTAAGAACAGTGAGAGAGAGAGAGAGCTATTGGTTACCACCAAGATATGTGTCTTAGTAAGGGTTTCTATTGCTATGAAGAGATGCCATTAACAAGACAACTCTTATAAAGGAAAGCATTTCATGTAGGTGGCTCATTTACAGTTCAGAGGTTCGGTTCATTGTCATCACAGTGAGACATGGTGGTGTGCTGGCAAACATGGTGCTAGAGAATGGCTGAGAGTACTGCATCTTCCAGGGAACAGGAAATGGTCTACTCACTTGGAGTAGCTTGAGCATAGGAGACCTCAAAGCTCACCCCCATACTGATACCCTTCTTTCAACAAGGCCATACCTACTCCAACAAAGCCACACCACAACAAAGCCGCCCACTGGGGGCCATTTTCATTCAAACCACCACAATATGCATGCCAGTATTGTACCCTTAGAGTTATCATATCATGTTGCAATTATTGTAATTCATAGGTTTCATAGCTGTGTGGAACTAATGGTTACTTCCCTCCCTTCAAAGCTCGCCTGGCAACTTCTGGTACCATGAGATCTAGTCCCCAAAGAATGATGCTTTTAAATCAGATCCAGTGTGTATCCTCTGTTCAAACTGCATGGTTACTTTAGCAATAGGACTTATCATCTGGGAAGCAACCAAGGGCAACAGAAATAGCCTAGAATGTTTAGGAAATTTGTGAGCTTCCCAGACCAACAACTTGAAAGTGAGTTTCCTGTAACTAGTATTGGGGTTTTTGTTGGATAGTCTATGGCTCTTAAAGCATTATCATCCCAGGTGAGAAAATTTCATTTAAAAAATTACAAGTATGTGATTTCCAAAGTAGCTGTATGGGTTTGAAATCCCACAGACAGTGAATTAAGGGGTTCCCTTTTCCCCACACCCACTCCTAGCCACTTTCTTTCTTTTTTTTTTTTTTTTTTTTTTTTTTTTTGTATATTTTTATTTTTTTTTTTCAACAGGGTTTCTCTGAATTGTTTTGGAGCCTATCCTGGAACTCTCTCTGTAGACCAGGCTGGTCTTGAACTCACAGAGATCCTCCTGCCTCTACCTACCAAGTGCTGGGACTAAAGGTGTGTGCCACCGATGCCCTGCTCCTCCTAGCCACTTTCCTTTCTTTCTTTCTTTGTTTTGTGTCCTAGGTCGTGGTCTTTTAAGAAAAACTTTCATGTAATGCTGAGAGGGAAGCATCTTCTTCAGTGTTTAGGCAGAATATGATGTAGGTATCTGTTAAGTCCATTTGATGATGCCATTCAATTCTGACATTTCTCTGCCTATTTTACATCCAGATGACCTATATGTTTGACTAACTGGGTTTTGAAATCACCTATTATTGATGGATTGATGCTAATCTGTGTCTTTAATTCTAACAGTAGATATTTATGAAATTGGGTGCATTTGAGTTTGGTACTCCTATGCTTAGGGGTAGTGTCTTCGGGTTTAATTGTTTCCTTGATTAGAATGAATTGTCTCTCTTTGTCACTTCTGGCTAGTTTTAGTTTAAACACTATTTTATCATATATTAGTATGGCTGCACTTGTTTGCTTCCTGGCCTCGTTTGACTTTTTAACATTTCCCTTTAAGGTACTACTCATCTTTAAAATTCAAGTGAGTTTCTTATAGATAATAAATAGGTGGAATTCTTGATCCATTCCACCAACCTCTGTTGTTTAATTGGAGAATTGAGTCCATTAATTTTTTTATTTACATTTGAAACAAGCTTGTTTTACAGTCAGCCCCAGTTCCCACACCCTCCTGTTCCTCCCAAGAACCACCATCCCATGCCTTTTCTGCTCCCTGAGGAGGATGAGGCCTTCCATGGGGAGTCTTCAAAGTCTGTCATATCGTTTGGAGCAGGGCCTAGGCCCTCACCTGTGTGTCTAGGCTGAGGGAGTATCCCTCTTTGTGGAATAGACTTCCAAAGTCCTTTCATATACTAGGGATAAATACTGATCCACTACCAGAGGCCCCATAGTCTGCCCAGTCCTCCCAACTCTTTGTTAGATTGAATATTTGTATTGCTTTCCTAGTTTCTACCTTATTGATTTCCACCCTCAAACTCACTCCTCTGGAGTGATTTTCCTCATTTTTGTTCTAGAGCGTTCAGTTGTACTGTTAATTCTCTAGTGTAACTATTCTCCAGTTTCCTTATGTGGGCACGTAGGGCTATGAACTGCTTTCAAAGTGTCCCATAAGTTTGGGTATGTTGTATGTTCATTCTCATTGAATTCTAGGAAGTCTTTAATTTTTCTTTCTTTCTTCCTTGACCCAGGAATGGTGCAATTGCGCATTGTTCAATTTCCATGAGTTTGTAAGGTTTCTGCAATTTCTGTTGTTGTTGTTGAATTCCAAGTTTAAAGCATGGTGATCTGATAGGATACAGGGGGTTATTCCAATTTTTTTGTACCTATTGAGGTTTGCTATATTGCCAAGTATATGGTCGATTTTAGAGAAGGTTCCATGTGGAGCAGAGAAGAAGGTATATTCTTTTGTGTTTGGATGAAATGTTCTATAGATGTCTGTTAGACCAAATTGGATCATAACTTCTGTTAGTTCCTTTGTTTCTTTGTTAATTTTCTGTCTGGTGGTCCTGTCTAGTGTTGAGAATGGGGTGTTGAAATCTCCCACCATAAGTGTTTGAGATCTTTGTGTGATTTGAATTTTAGTAATGTTTCTTTTACGAATGTGGATGCCTTTATATTTGGGGCATAGATGTTCAAAATTGAGACTACATCTTGATGGATTCCTCCTGTGATGAAGAAGAAATGACCTTCATCTCTTTTGATTGATTTTAGTTTAAAGTCTGATTGGTTAGATATTAATATTGCTACACCCACTTGTTTCTTGGGTCCATTTGATTGAAAAATCTTTTCCCAACCCTTAACTCTGAGGTCAATTCTATCTTTGAAGTTGAGGTGTGTTTCTTGTATGGAGCAGAAGGATGGATTCTGTCTTTGTATCCATACTGCTAGCATGTGTCTTTTTATAGGCAAGTTAAGTCCATTAATTTTGAGGGATATTAATAACCACTGATTGTTAATTCTTGTTTTGTTTGGATTTGGCAGTAGTGGTGGTATTATGTGTGGATTTGCCCCTGGTTTTCTTTTGGCCGTTGGTAAAGTAGGATTATCTATTGCCTATGTTTTTCTGGGTGTAGTTGACTTCCTTGAGTTGGAGTTTTTCTTTCACAACTTTCTGTAGGGATGAATTAGTTGA